GTTTGTAATACTGGGCAGAAAGTACTCTGACAACAGAGGAGAAAAAGCTTAGTTCTCATGAGGGCTGTGTGGTGGAACCTGGCCTAGGAGAATTCTGACAGGTAGAGACAAGCAGGAAGGGCATTCAAGGTAAAGAAGATGGCCTGAGCAAGGCAGGACAGTGGCTACTGGTTGGATCCCTGGAAACAAGAGATAAAGAAAGATAGCCAGGACCTTAGATTTCTCAAATTCAATTCTGCCACAGCCAGGCAGAGGTCTTTGTGAGAAACAAGATAAGGCCAGCAGGTTTGGGCCATAAAGCCCAATGTGGAAACTAGCCCACGTATGCAGGAACCACAGACTCTCTTGCCCCTCTTAGGCAGGCCTGAGTCCTGGTGCCCCCACAAGCCAGGGCCCCACTCAACAATCACCCTCTTGTATCTCACCACTTCAATGGGAAGGAAGAGCCAATTCAAGGAAAAGCCTCCAAGGAGAAAGAAGGGAAATGAGTTTTTCCACCCCAAGATGTAGAACAGAGCTGGCCTCATTTAACACCCAAGGCCTTGTTAGTTAGAATCACTAATCAAATGCAACAATTGTTTTAACTGCTATGGGAAAGCAAAAGTTGACTGACCATTGGGTGGGATGGGCCTCAGGCACTACTAAAAAAGTAGAACACTGAGGGCACAGAAACTCCTTACCACAAATTGTTATTTAAGTCCCATTTTACTGGCAAGGAAAAGGCCTTGAAGAGGAGAGAAATTTACCTTTATATCAGAACCACACCATAGAACCCAGGCAGTCTGGCCAGAGTCCCTGCTCTTGACCATTCATTTTGCAATATAACTTCACCAAAAAAATGAATGGAGAGAAAGTGCTGGAGGAAAAGAAAGCTCAAAGACATGAGTCCAGTGAAATCAGCTACATGGACATTCAAAAACTCTGCCTGTGTCCATCCTTCAAATCCCTTGAATCCCAGGCTTAGGGAGAGCATGACTAACACTTTGTATGGTTTCCCATCAATACCCAGAGCTAAAACCAACTGACTTCTAGACAATAATCTCAAGTGCTGGACTAAGGCTGTGTTCAAGGCCAACGGCTCAGAGGAGTCAGCAGCAAGTCCACTTTGGTAGAGTTCTGTTCTTATATCCCAGTCTGATAACTGTGTGGACTGGATGCTATGGCTTCCTGCCCCAAGCCTTCTTTTAGAACCAAGACATTCATTCTCTTGGATGTTGGGAGTGTAGGCTGCTGAAAACTCACCTCTAAATCCCTCTCTGGGAGTGACCCTCAGCCAAAAGGTGCTGCCACTACCCCACATCGGTTAGAACGGCCAGAACACTGACACCAAACGCTGGTGAGGGTGCAAAGCAATAGGAACTCTCATTCATTGCTGGTGGGAACGCAAAAATGATATAGCTGCTTTGGAAGACAGTTTGGCAGTTTCTTACAAAGGGAGCTGCCACATCAAGATCATGTCTCTCTCTGTGGGCAGCTCACCCCCAGTGACTAGAAGAGGCATGGATGTAAAGGCCCACCCCTTGCCATAACTCGAAAGGGCCGTCCTAGTCCAGAGCTTCCAGGAGGAAGGGCTGAGAACTCTGTTACAAACACATTATAGTTCCACAGTTCTCCTTGCCCATTCCTGAGTCCCCCATTCCCTTATGGATACTGTTCTCGAAAGCACCCCCCCAAATTCTCTTTATGCAAGTCATTGCCTCTGCTCCTTCCCAGGAGACCCAAGCTAAGACAAACAGTATGGAAGCAGATTATAAAATGATATGTTGGAGCTGAATCACCTTCTAGGCAGCTGTCAATGAGGACGCTGTCATTGGTGGCACGTGGAATACTGATCACTCCTAGCGTGCTGTGCTGGTGCAATTGTTCAAACTTCCACTCTGGGTGAGAGGGAAGAGAATGCCCTGGTGGTGCAATGTCAGGAGTTGGAGAGGTTTGGTGGACATAGTGTTTATAAGGACTATGGAATCAGTTGTCTCTTGCTGAGTATTATGTATTTACTGGCATAAGATAAAGAAATGCTGAGATAACCAATTTAAGGTGAAGTATCAAAACCAGAAGGCCTCCATTGCAGCACATAAAGAGACTCATTTCCAGCTGAAGGGCAGAAAAAACTTGGGCTCCAGGTTTTTTTTTATAAGAGTAATGGTGCTCCAGGGGCACCTGGGTGGTTCAGTCAGTTAAGCGTCTGATTTCAGCCTCAGGTCATGATCTCAGGGTCCTGGGATTGAGCCCCATGCTCAATGCTCCATGTTCAGCGGGGAGTCTGCTTGAGATTCTCTCTCCTCTCCTTCTCCCTCCCCATTCATGCTCCCTCTCAGTCTCAAATAAATGAAATCTTAAAAAAAAAAAGTAAGTTCCAGAAAAGGTTGAGTTCTCAGAAGCAGGATTGCTAAACCAGTCAGGCTCTGATTGGGAAGGAGAGATCCTGAGACTTGGTATGAGGACATCCTGGTTGATGCACTGGGAGATACTGAATCCCCAGATTCCCCTGAACCCTCTGAGCTCACTTCTCCCCATTAAAAGCTAGAGTCCCCCATGCTGGCAGATGACACAGGCTTCTGCCTTGGAAGACTACATGCACCACCGTTGAGGATCTACCCTATATTCCCTCCTGGCCACCAGTCCAATAAATAGGGTTAAGACACAACATAACCCAGCAGAGATGTATTGGGTCCTCTAAGGGAGAATAAGGACTGGCCAACATGTACTAGCATGACCTAGGAAAGTTTATGTGGGATTGGATACTGAGGGTGCTAAGTCAGAAAATGGAATAGCAAGTTAGATAAGGGAGAGTTTCTCAATATGGTTAGAATTCAACTCCTTGGGGCGCCTGGGTGGCTCAGATGGTTAGGCATCTGCCTTCAGCTCAGGTCATGATCCCAGAGTCCTGGGATCGAGCCCCACATCGGGCTCCTGGCTCAGCGGGGAGCCTGCTTCTCCCTCTTCCTCTGCCTCTCCCCTGCTCATGCTCTCTCTCTGTATCTCTGTGTCTCAAATGAATAAATAAAATCTTTAAAAAAAAAAAAAAAAGAATTCAACTCCTTTATCTACATAACATACATGACCTCTGTGAGATGGCTTTTGTATGTCTCTCCAACCTGAGAATTTGTCCCAGTTTGCCCCCTCTATTCCAGCCATACCAAGCTACCTAGACCAAATTCTTTTACTCTTCCGTAAAATCACTAACAACTCTCTCTGCCTGGAATGTTTATCCTACTCCATCTTCCATTCTATTCCCAGCTTAGGTGCCTATAATCTACTATTTCATAACACAGCCCATCTGGGAATTATATCTGCTAATGGAAGTAGAAATTCATACACATCCTTTCTGGGAAACAAGTTGGCAATACTAGCAGCCTTAAAATGTTTACACATCCTGACTTGGGAATCCCACTTTTCCCTGGGGGTGAGGGAGGGGGATACAAAATATAGGCAAAACTTATGCACAAATATATCAAAATGGTCAATTCATTATTATAAAAATTAACATAACCCAAACATCTGAAAGTATGGGTTTATGGAAATATATGCAGCTATTGAAAATAATGTATTTAAATAATTTGTAATAAGAAAATGCTTATCCAAACAAGCACCCTGAAAACGTAAGAGAATTTTGAGCATATATATATTATATATATATATTTTTTAAATCAGGGTCTTACCAAACACAATCATCTATTGACCCATCTGCACCCTTCACTAAGATTATGAGGATAGGAATTCTGTCTTTTGTTTCTGTAACTTTGGCATCTATGCATTGTCTGGCACATGGTAGATTCCTACAAATATTTGTTTGCGTTTGTGTTGGTTTGTTTTTTGGAAAGAGGTTGTTGTTTTTAAACTTTTGACTAGGACGAGTAGTCTCTGTTATTCTGAATCAAACCCCACAATTTATTAAAAAACAAACTTTTTGAAGAAATGCTAGAGTAAATAGATTTTACTTCTGGTGAGTGAAATCTGTAGCTAAGTACAATTTTAAACAAAATCCAGGACTCCTGACAAAAGGAATAAACTTAGAGTCAACACGTGAAAAATGTTGTAATTATTCCCTGAACGTGATATTAAGACTAAGATTTTCCTCAAAATAAACTCCAAATTCAACACAGTGTCCTTCCAGATGAGTGTGAGGGAAGGCAGGTGTTTTCCCAGGGCTGCTCTTTGTGGGAGCTGCTGGCCCCCCCAGGGCAGTTACTTCACAGCTAGAGAGCAAACAGAAGTTACTCCAACTGGCTCCAAGCACGTTTCAGAGTAATGTAACAGAAACGAGTGGTCTCTGTTCTTCTCCAAAATGTATTAACTTGAGCAGATTTTCATCGTGAGGGTATTCATCGTTCGCACACATTCCTCCCCGCTGGAAATCTGAGTCTACTTTAACAATTACATAACATGGGCGCCTGGGTGGCTCAGTTGGTTAGGCGGCTGCCTTCGGCTCAGGTCATGATCCCAGGGTCCTGGGATCGAGTCCCACATCGGGCTCCCGGCCCAGCGGGGAGCCTGCTTCTCCCTCTGACCCTATCCCCTCTCATGCTGTTTCTCTCTCGCTCACTCTCTAATAAATAAATAAATAAAATCTTTAAAAAAAAAAACAAAACAATTACATAACATGATCTTCAATGAGAATTTTGAGCAGCACAACAGAGACATGGAAATAGACTAACCTACCGTTTTTGGCAAAAAGTGTCTTGTTCAAAACGTAAAGGCAGTTTTGTATTGGGAACCGTGTGAATAGGTTGGGGAAAACCTAGGTCGCTGGATATGTCACTAGAGTGACCTTTGGTCATTCATGAGCGGAGGGCTCCAGTCACTATCGGTCTCCAGCGTAAAACTCAATTTTCTTTCAGACTGTGTTTGTGCAGATGCGCGTGTGTGCAGCGGTAGGCGGCGCATGAGTTAGGTCATGATGACCTGGGGGTGACTCACAAGCACCCTGAAAACGTAAGAGGACCCTGGGGAGAGAATTCTCTCCTTGGGTGGGTCCAAGGGAGCGGCGCAGGGTTAGGGCGAGCGCCCTGCGCGGGGGCGCCACCTAGTGGGGGCGCAGCCTTGAGCACCACACCGTCCACCGCGGCCCCCTCCGCAGCACCCGCGCCCCCCAGCACCTCGCGGGCCGCGGTCTCCTCCACCCCCGCCCTGCCCGCACACCCATCCCCCAACTCACCCGGGTCGCCTCCCCTCGAGGCCCCGCGCTCGTTGCGGACTCGGCGGGCGCCGCCCGCTCGTTGGCCAGCGGGCTGAGGGCGGGAAAAGTGACTAACGGCTGCAGCGGGCCCTCGCGGTGTGAGGAGATGGCGTCGGGGGCCCGGGCTCCCGTGCCGGAGGACTCCGTCCGAACCGCCAGCCCCGGCAGGCGAGGAGGGAAGGGGGTGTCCGCGCCCCCCGGGGACTCGGTGGCGGTAGGGACCCTGAAGAGCGCCGCATCCCCGGCGCGGGCGGTGGCGGCGTCCCCGCGGCCCGCGAAGGGGAAGGCGGGCCGGGAGGCGGCCCGGCGGCGGCTGCAGCTCCAGCCGGCCTCTCAGGCCGAGGGCCGGGGCGAGGGGGCGCAGGAGGACGAGGACGAGGAGCCCCTTCTGTCGGTGCCGGAGGAGGTTGAAGAGGAGGCGCAGCCACTGCCCCCGGTCTGCGTGTGCCCCATGAGGGGCATGTGGCGCGACGAGAAGGTGGCGCTGTACTGCGACGAGGTGCTGCGCGGCTGTAAGGTGAGGGGCCAGCTGCCGCTCCAGGAAGGACGGGCGCTCGGCATCTGCAGGGCCTCCGCCGAGCCCGAGGCACCGGCCCGTCCCGGCGGGTGACCGTTGGCTTTTCCCGCACACAAACCATTGTCAGTGAGGGGGCAGCCCTGGTGGAGCGTGCTCCCGGTTTCTGGCAGCTTCCAAGAGATGAAGATCGATAGGCTAATCAGGGCCCGGGTTTACATCTTAGATCGATAAGCCTTATCAGTGCCCAGGCTTGCGTCTTAGTTTTCGCATTTAACGGCTTGCGTCCACAGATAACGATACGATGACCCAGCCTTGACTTTTACCCGACAGTACTGCCCGGGTCTACACTCGATGTTCCCAGACTCTGAGTCTGGGAAGTGGAATGATGTTTCGTATCCAAGATACGTGCCTCGTAACACTGCATAGAGCAAATATATGTTTCTAACCTTTTTTTTTTTAAGTTATAGTAGAAGAATTGGTGTAGAAAGATATTCGTTGCACTGATATGTATTAGAATTAAAAATTAGGAACTAACGACTATGGGGGCAGTAAAGAACTTGTGGTGGCTGCATATACTGGAGACCCATGCAGGGGTAAAAATTAGGTTTTCAAGAACAGTTATATCTTACGCGATAATGTTAAAAAAAAAAAACAATCCAGGAGACAAAAAAAAACATGATTCATATGAATGGATGAATACAAACATAGAAAAATGACTGGAAGGAATTAGCAACAAGGGTTATTTGGGCTGTCAGGATCAAGAGTGGGTTTTGTTTTCCTTGCATTTTGTGCGTTTTTCAGATTTTGTTGTAGGCGGACCGTATTTTATAATCAGACGGAAATTTTATTTTTAAGAACACAGTTACCATAGGGGCGCATGGGTGGCTCAGTTGAAGTGACTGCCTTCTGCTCAGGTCATGATCCCAGGGTCCGGGGATCGAGCCCCGCATCGGGCTCCCTGCTCGGCGGGAAGCCTGCTTCTCCCTCTCCCGCTCCCCTGCTTGTGTTCCCTCTCTTGCTGTCTCTCTCTCTCTGTCAATTAAATAAATAAATAAAATCTTAAAAAACAAACAAACAAACACAGTTACCATAAAACTAGGACAGTATTAATGGCCAACTTATATCTGATAACAAGGGTTGGAAAAGAGGAAGTCTCTGAAAGGCAATTGAAAAACGTTTATAGACATTTTTGTGCCCTTAATCAGACGGGGTCTAATGACTGGGTTTCACAATAGCTTAGATGATTATCATCCTTGAGGTAGCTGATTTAAATTTAAAAAATAAAATGGGTAGTATTTTTTGAATGCTTAATATGCTCATTTGTTTTATAGAATGGAGTGCTGTTTTAAATTTTTATGTACTATGTTTTAAATAGGTTACTGTATCTTTAAAGTTTAGAAAAAATAATTGCTTTTTTTTTTTTAAGATTTTATTTATTTATTTGAGAGAGAGAGAATGAGAGACAGAGAACATGAGAGGGAGGAGGGTCAGAGGGAGAAGCAGACTCCCCGCCGAGCAGGGAGCCCGATGCGGGACTCGATCCCGGGACTCCAGGATCATGACCTGAGCCGAAGGCAGTCGCTTAACCAACTGAGCCACCCAGGCGCCCATTGCTGTTTTTTAAAAATGATAATTACTATTTTTTTAAAGTATAATTACAGTTCTTTGTCCTCAGTGGATTAATAAAACAGATTACTTAAATATAAATAACAAGTAGATGTTTCAGCACTGAATTACTCTATTGAGTGAATGGATCTCTTTTAAGTTTTTAATGTTTATGATATTTTCCAGTAAACATTGATTCAATTAAAATCTGTTACTTTCCAGGTTTTTTATTATTTAAGGGTATATTTAAATAGAAATCAGTAAAAATATTTCTATATAAATCTATAATTTTATATATTTATACATATTTTTTCTGTTGCTAGGCAGAAGATGCTGATGAGGCTATGAGTAATTATCTATCAGAAAAATTAAAGTTGAAAGACAAATGGCTTGGAGTCTGGAGGACGAATCCTGAGTTATTCTTTGTGAAATATGAAGAAGCTTCTATCCCTTTTGTTGGTGTACTGGTTGAGGTAAATAAATTTTACCTGAGCTTTGTTCTTTTGAGTGAAATTATCAGTTCTTTTTAAGACCAAAATATGACCTTACTAATTTGGGGCTTTGATACTTAAACACAGATTGACAAAGGTTAATGTCTATTTTAAGTTTCTAAGCAAATTAATAGCATAAAAAGAAGGGGGATATTAGCATTCATTTACCTGGGCACAGTTAATTATTACATGGAATCTAGTGTATCAGACAGTATTTATTAGCTTAGTTTCAATTGCTCAAATAGCAAAAGTGCATTTCTTTAAAATTAGTAATTTAGGCTTTAACAGATTTGGGCCTTCTTTTTCCATCATTTTCCTTTAATCTTCTTTTGTCTGAATTACGAGGTTTAGTTAAAGTAAGACAGAAAAAGTGGATCAGAAAACTGTTGGTAAAATTTGAAATTTCTTCCTATAAAAAGTACTCTTTTAGTATAATACCTCAACTTCCAAGCCTTCATCTGATAAGATTTTACTTTTTTAAGTCTATAGGTTAAATATTGTGGCATATTTGATGTCATAAGTTTGATTCCCTTAAAGATTTATTATCCTTGTATAGACATTAATATTTATAATTGCAAATGGTATCCCTGCCTCAGATATTTCAAGTTTGTTGTTTGGTCACAAGAAAAATTTGTGTTTGAAATTCATTACATTGCACACTACCTGAAAACAATTCAATTCTGTCTTCTATGGAAAAGTAAGTTTGTGGTATTTTTACAGATAAAAAATGGCATATTTTTTATCATAAAGACTATACAAAAAATATAATAGAGACTTGGGATTAGTTTTCCAATAATATTCTGTTTTTAGTGTTTCTTTGAGGTTTGCTCAACTTCACATTTTGAGTAGCTTTTCCCTGGAACTTTCATAACTTCTCTGGACTTTTTTCATGTGGATAAAATAAGTGGAGGTATACTATATTGGTATCTTTAACATTTTGGGGGGGGATTTTTTAGTCAAGTTTTATGTGGAATCCTGACGTATACAACACATTAAAGCAGGACATTTCTGATTGAAATGAAGGGGATGGCATTCTAGCAATTACTTGGCTTTTCTTCCGATACCTCATGATAGCCCCTATTCTCCATAAAACCTGGAAGATCCTTAAATTTATATGAAAACTCACTGGATTAGATTATCTAGAAAATATATCAAGTCCTAAGGTTTTACATGCAATACATTGATTGTTTGCTCTCTTTCTTACTCCCAAAATAACAAGATTACAGATAATTATATTGCTTTAGAATCCTCTAGGGATTACCAATCCTCTAGAGATTGCCAGTGTCCGTTTAAACATTAGAAAGGTAGGAAGGAAAGAAGAGAACAGAGCAAAAAGCAGAATAGTATGTTGGCAGATTCTAATTCTTTGAATTATGTGGCAGTAAAACTAGATCTTGGGACCTCTTAAGGTAGCTCTTGGGATCTCTTAAGGTAGTGCTGCACAATTCAGATGTTGTTTTGTCTGCCAAAGCTTCTTAAATCTTACTTGGATTGAAGTATCAACAGTTGCTATATGATACTCCTTGTTCTGAAGTCACAATAATTTATTTCTATGGACCTCATTCTCTTTTTCTTTAGATGCTCAATTTTCTATTGCTGCTGCAAGAATTTACCATGAGTTTGGTGACTTAAACGATACAAATTTATTATCTTACAATTCTATAGAAAAAAATCTGACATGGGCCCAGTGAGCTAAAATCAAGATATAGGCAAGGCTGCATTCCCTTTTGGAGGCTGTAGGGGAGAATCTGTTTCCTTGTCTTGTCCAGCCTCTAGAAGCTTCCTGCATTCCATGACTTCTGGCCCCCTCTCTCCATCTTCAAAGTCTTTCTCGGACTCTATCTGTCTGATTCTTTGCAGGCTGAAAAAGTGCATGTCCTTTAAGATTCATGATTAGAATGGGCCCAACTGGGTAATTCAGGATAACTTTCCCATCTCAACTCCTTAACCTTAATCACACCTGCAAAGTCCCTTTTACCATGTAAAGTAACATTAATATATTCACAGGTTCCAAGGATAAAGGCATGAATATCTTTGAGGGCCATTATTCTGCCTGGTACAAATTCACACAAAAACAAAGAAAAAATTTAGAAATATTTGACTGGAAGAAAATCTAGCATATTCTTAATCTTGGTTACAAAATGGTCCAGAAATTAAGGAACTTTTTTATAACCTCTGCAAAAAGCAGTTTGCCAAAATATATTAAGAATTTTAAAGTAGGGGCGCCTGGGTGGCTCAGTCGGTTAAGCGTCTGCCTTCTGCTCAGGTCATGATCCCAGGGTCCTGGGATCGAGCCCACTTCGGGCTCTCTGCTCAGCGGAGAATCTGCTTCTCCCTCTCCCTGCCTCTCTGCCTACTTGTGCGTGTGAGCTCTCTCTCTCTCTCGCTCTCCCTCTCTGTCAAATAAATAAAATCTTTTTTTTTTTTAAAGATTTTATTTATTTATTTGAGACAGACAGAATGAGAGAGACAGAGAGCACATGAGAGGGGGAAGGGTCAGAGGGAGAAGCAGGCTCCCTGCCGAGCAGGGAGCCCAATGCGGGACTCGATCCTGGGACTCCAGGATCATGACCTGAGCCGAAGGCAGTCGCTTAACCAACTGAGCCACCCAGGCGCCCAAATAAATAAAATCTTAAAAAAAAAAAAAAGAATTTTAAAGTAGTTCACTCATTATGTCAGTTATCTCAATAAAGCTAGAAAAAATAAAAATAACAAAAATAAATAAATAGACCCCACTGCACATAAAAACAAATAAAAATGAAAATGAAAAAGTTCACTTAATTTCTAGAATTTATTCTACAGAAATCAGAAATACAGAAAAAGATTTATATATTGAGTGATCACAGTGCTATTTATAAAATTAAAAATACCATAAGACTTTAATAGTAAGATGCTGGTCAAATAAATGATGATATATCCATAAGATAGGATATTATGTAGTCATAAAACTTATATTAACAAAAAACTTTTAATGATTTAGAAAAGCGCTCATTGTATATATAAGGTAAAGTAAAAGATTAGAGAACTAGATATGCAGTATGATCCAATTATGTTAATAATATAAGGACATAGGAATAAAACTGGAAGATAAAAAGGTTAATGGTAGTTGGTTATCTCTGTTGATAGGATTATGGTTGATTTTTAAACATTTTTTACAAAGAGCATGTGTAGTCACTATCAATAAATTTAGAGACTATTTTATTTATTTTTTTAAGATTGTATTTATTTATTCGACAGAGAGAGTGAGAGAGTACAAGCAGGGGGAGTGGGAGAGGGAGAAACAGGCTTCTCGCTGAGCAGGGAGCCCGATGCGGGGCTCGATCCCAGGACGCTGGGATCATGACCTGAGCCAAAGGCAGACGCCCAACCATCTGAGCCACCTAGGCGCCCCGAGAATCTTTATTTTTTTAAAAGTTTATTCAAATTCCAGTTAACATACAGTGTAATATTAGTTTCAAATGTATAATATAGTGATTCAACACTTCCATACAACACCCAGTGCTCACCACAAGTGCACTCCTTAATCCCTAGCACCTATTTAACTCATTCCCCGCACCCACCCTCCCTCTGGTCACCATCAGTTTGTTCTCTCTCTTTTTTTTAATATTATTTTTTAAAAATTTTTAAAAGATTTTATTTATTTGAGAGAGAAGGAGAGAGAGAGAGCACGTGAGAGGGGGAGGGTCAGAGGGAGAAGCAGACTCCTTGCTGAGCAGGGAGCCCGATGCCGGACTCGATCCTGGCACTCCAGGATCATGACCTGAGCCAAAGGCAGTCGCTTAACCAACTGAGCCACCCAGGCGCCCACCATCAGTTTGTTCTCTATAGTTCAGAATCTTTTTCTTGGCTTGCTTCCCTCTCTCTTTTTTTTCCCCCCTTTGCTTATTAGTTTTGTTTCTTAAATTCCACATATAAGTGAAACCATATGGTACTTGTCTTTCTCTGACTGACTTATTTCACTTAGCATAATACTCTCTAGCTTCACCCATGGTGCAAATGGCAAGATTTTATTCTTTTTTATGGCTGAGTAATATGCCATTGTATATGTACGTATTTATACATATATCACATCATCTTTATCCATTCATCAATTGATGGATACTTGGACGGTTTCCATAATTTGGCTATTGTAGATAATGCTGCTATAAACATTGGGGTGCATGTATCCCCTTGAATTAGTATTTTTGTATTCTCTGGGTAAATATTTAGCAGTGCAATTGCTGGATCATAGGGTAGTTCTATTTTTAACTTTTTGAGGAACCTCCATACTGTTTTCCAGAGTGGCTGCACCAGTTTGCATTCCCACCAACAGTGCACAAGGGTTCCCCTTTCTCCACATCCTCACTAACATCTGTCGTTTCTTGTGTTGTTGATTTTAGCCATTTTGACAGGTGTGAGGTGTTATCTCATTATACTTTTGTATTTCCCTGATGATTAGTGATGAGTATCTTTTCATGTGTCTGTTAGCTGTCTGGATAACTTTGGAAAAATGTCTATTCATGTCTTCTGCCCATTTTTTACTTGGATTGTTTTCTGGCTGTTGAGTTAAGTTCATATATTTTGGATACTAACTCTTTATCAGATATGTCATTGGCAACTATCTTTTCCCATTCAGTAGGTTGCCTTTTAGTTTTGTTGCTTGTTTCCTTCGCTGTGCAGAAACTTTTTATCTTGATGAAGTCCCAATTGTTTATTTTTGCTTTTGTTTCCCTTGCCTCAGGAGACATATTAGAAAGAAGTTGCTATGGCTGATGTCAGATTACTGCCTGTGTTCTCTAGGATTTTTATGGTTTCAGGTCTCACATTTAGGTCTTTAATCCATTTTGAGTTTATTTTTGTGTATGGTGTAAGAAAGTGGTCCAGTTTCATTCTTTTGCATGTAGTTGTCCAGTTTTCCCAACACCATTTGTTGAAGAGACTGTCTTTCTTCCATTGGATATTCTTTCCTGCTTTGTCAAAGATTAATTGACCATATACTTGCG